GCCTCTTTATGGAAGGCTAGAAGGAACATTTTCTGTAGAAACTTTTGGAAGGCCCTTTTCAAAGGTGGATTTGTGTTACCCTCAGAATGAGTCTCATGAACTCATTCAGTTCTGGGGATTTGATGAAGGGCGCTATTTCTGTTGTGGTGATTAAGTCAGGTTTCTGTTCACTAGACATAAGAGATTTTTTTGTTACATAGATCAAGTGAAACTTCAATAGACTGCCCTCTGTTTCAGTTCTAGGAATACTGTAATTGATTAATCACTGCTACTGATTTATGTGGTATATTCCATTTTAATTGTTCTCATCTTGCTTCCCATTGTAGTGTCACATGTGCTTTACCACTGGTGGTTAAGTGCCTTCTCTTGGTTTCTGCCACTTTGGGATTCCATCATTCTCAATGAATACAATGAAGCCATTTCAATGGCATCATTTCTCACTATTATTCCTGGCAAGCAGGTAATACCACCAAGCCTTTACTGATATATTTTTCAAATTAGTGGAGAAAGAAGTATTCTCTAGATCCTCCTGGGGGACATAAAGAATGACAGGTCACCTGTAATAAATATACTCACCTTACTATCTCCCTAAGGCTTTGGATTTCTTCTCTACAAGAGATTTTCAAATTTCAGCATGCATCATATCTCATGGAAGGCTTTGTTAAATAAGATTTCTGAGTCCCACTGCCAGACTTTATGATTTAATAGCTCTAGAGTAGGTCTAAGAATTTAAATTTTATCAATACCTAGGTGATGCTGGTGGTACTGGTAGGGGAACCACACCTTAAGCACCAGTCTATATTATACCAAGAAAACTGTGAACATCTTGATGTCAATGTAGGACACAATTACATTCACATTTTGCTCAATCAACTGAGCAAGTTATTAGATTCCTCTTAGCTACTAGGTCAAACATGCTGTAGTAATTATTTAGGATCAGATAATTGAAAATGCTACTGACACCTTATAAGTATGTAAAATATGGGACACTTTAGTAAAGGTAAAGGGCACAGTAGGGCAGGAAAAAGAAATCATAAGCAAATGTATGAGAGGCTTTGCTCTTAGTCCTTTAAGATATCTTCATATGAGATCATGGGACTTAGAAATATGATATTGAGGCCTTGGACTTGGGGATACCACATACTCATCTGAGAAGTTGTTTTTTTTTTAATATCCTTTTGGTTGTTTTTTATAGCTCTATGTTTTCTTTCAATTATGCAAACATATTTTATTATTCTGTTTGTACTGCTTGTTGTATTCTTTTTCACCTCACAGATTTTTCTCAAGTATCATTTTTTTGTGCACTTACATTGTCCAGGGAAGGGAATAAAAATGTAATTAGGAGTTTGCCACTTATGGGCTGAACGATGCCTGGGAAGGTCCAAGCATTTGGTTTTGTTGGAATTTCTTTGATCAGTTTCTCTTGTTAATAGCTCTCTTATTTCCTCCTTGGTGGATACAAGCTAACTGCTGATCTGAGAGCTGAATTAGGAAATGGGTTGAAACTGCCATTATTCAGTATACGTAGAATTTAAATTACCTGTTTTTAGTAGAGCGAATTACCCCGCCCTCTGTTCTACTTGGAATTATCACATACTCCTGACATACTTCTGACATAATTTCAGTCAGTGGATCTGAAATTTTTGATCTCAAGTTCTTTTAATAATCTTATTACTGAGGACCCCAAAGATCTTTTATTTATATGTGTTACATCCATGTTTACTATGTTAGAAAATAAAACTAATGGCTTAAATAGTTATTCTTGCATATAAAATAGCAATAACTAGTTTTATTTTCACATGCTTGACATAAACTTACAAAAATTACATTTGTAAAACAAAATGGTGAGAAGGGCAGCATTGTTTTAAATTCTGGCAAGTCTCCCTAATGTCTGGCTTAGTAGGAGCTAGCCTAATTCTCATATCTGCTTCTCATTCAGTCTGTTCCTATATCATATGTCATGTAGCTCTGGAAAACTACACTATACTCATGAGAGAATGAGAGTGGAAGGAGCAGGTGACATATTATTACTTATGAAAGCAGTTTTCACCTCAAAGACTCCTTGAATGGATTTCAGGGACCCAACAGTACACCTAGATCAAAGTTTCAGAACTGCCATTCTACAAATAAACCTATCTGCTACTGAGTAGTGGAGAGAAAATTACTTAGGCATTTGTAGCTGAACTGGACTTATTGTTCTAATTTCTCTCTTTGCAGAGTATTAATAAATCCTTATATTAAAAAAAGACTCCATCTGATTATATCTTCCTTTATAAAATCAAAACCTCACTATATGGTAAACCCTTAGAAATGTGAATTCAGATTGAAGAGTATTGGCTTTCACCCTCTGTCAAGATTCCATTTTCAAAGCAGTTCAGCTATATCCTTACCTTTCTAGGAGAGGAAGAAGGGACATTGAGAGTAAGAGAAAGTTGGGTCCTCTTAAAATGAATGTGAGAGAGTACGTGCCAAGCTTCCCAATCATCTCCTGGTCAAATCTTCCCATATGAGACCACTGGAATAAGCGTGAACTAATTTGCTATCAATTCTTCTCTTTGGGTTTATATTTTAATGTTTTGTGTTATTTTTTATAGGGTTTTGAGAGGCAGCAAAGATAAATCTTGAGTGTTTCGATCATTAGTTCTTCCTTTTGTCACTATACATCTTGGATTATACAGGGATATAAACCTCTGTTTTGCTTACTAGAAACCTTGGGCTGAGGATTCAGTATCCGTGTAGAAAGTGTTACCTATTTTGAGATTGCCGTGCTGTGAGGAAACCCATGCCACGTGGAAAGGACTTGATAGATCCAGTTTTTGGCCATTTTAATCTCCCTTGATGAGGCTCAGACATTGTAGTGCCAAGAAAAGCCAACATTGCTGTCTTGCCTGAATTTCTGCCTCAAAGAATCTGCAAGCATTACAATATTATTTTTTTGCCATTAAGTTTTGGAATACGTTGTTAGGTAGAAATAATAGCTGGAATAGATTTGGGTACCAGAAATGAGATGCTATCATAATTTTTGAACTGAACAGTGAGCTGCAAAAGGAAGGACCTTCCTTGAGAAGAAACTTCACAAGTCTCAAGGAAGCTGTCACTGAGGGCTTTAAGGATGTTGAAGAAAATGTTGCAAGTGAAAGAAGTGTAGCAAAATTGCTACTGCCAGATATGGAAAATTGAAATGTAGAAGTGAACTAAGATATAAGACTAAAGCAATTTCTAAGTGAAATGTTGTTAATGCCAACTGGTACTTTTTTCTTGTGATAAAGTACTGATAGAGAAAATGTGGCTTAATTTTCATTATTTTTTAGCTTATAAGAAAAATTTAGAGAAGTAATATAAGAATAAGAACTTTTTGGATTAAAAAAATCATTTCTTATTCCTAGCTTCTCTACATGGCAAAATGTCCTCATTTTAAAACTTACTCAAAGGCAAAAGATTAATTTCATGGTTCTGTTTTTTAATATTTTTATTAGCATATATTACTTGTACATGGGGGAGGTTCATTGTAACATTTCCATATGTGCTTACAATATACCTTGACTAGTTTTACCCCCTCCATTTTTCTCTCATCCATCCTCCCCAATTCTTAGAAGAATTTCAGTGAGTTTTGTGGTTCTGTTTTTACGCACATACACAAAGCACATCGATCACATTGACCCTCCTTCACCCTCTCTGTTTACCCTCCCCCTCCCACTGCTACCCACCTGTTTTACAGGACCCTTCGTACATTCCTGTCATTCATTTTTAAGTGTGTATCTGTTGTGGTATTTCACATATGAATATATTGTACCTGAATAACTCTATTACTCTCCTTTTCTGTCCCTCCTACCCTCTATGTCACATTTTCTATGAATCTCAAAGAATTGGATACTCAAACCCCAAGAAAAGATAAACAGAACTTAAAATGCATTATCATTACACCTAGATTAAGTTCTGAACTAGCCAAAGAAGTTAGTTCACTTTTTCTCTTCCTCTTCTAAACTATCCTTTTTAAATTGTGTTTAAATTTTATTTTGATTTATGATACATTAATGATACAAGGGGATTTCATTGTGATAATTTCATACATGTGTACAGTATAGTATATTTACCCCCTATATTAAATTCCCAATTCCCCTCTCCCTTTTTCTCCCTCTTTCAAACAATGTTTAGTGAATTTCATTATGTTGCCTTTGTGTGAATATATGCAGTGTACTTTGCTTCACCCCTCAGTATCCTTTTCTCTCCCCCTCCCCCTGATTCCCATCCCCAGATATCCCCAGGTACATTCATATCCCATGATTAGCCAAGCTTAAAAGGCCAAATGTTGCATGCTCTCCCTCATTTGTTGAATATAGATCCAAAATGATAATGATTATAATAATAATAGAAGTAATCATAATCCCATGGTTCTGTTAGGAAAGCATCTTTAAGGTAAGATATGGGTGTGACTGTAAACCCTTTGTTAGAACCCTAGAGATATCTTAGGTGATTTCCTTTAAAATAGGCAAAAAAAGCTTTTAATTAGCTTAAAGGCATGCCTCTAGTTCTTTAGGGTGAACCTATGGCAAAGAAGGACTTCTTTCAGAGATTTGTTTGTGGCAAACTTTGTCTGAGTAGACTGTAAATTGATCCACAGAAAATTTTAAAAAGGAATTATATCAAATTTTACTGAAACAGCTGTAGTCAAAAATAAGAGAGGCTTTTACATGCCTAGAGTCCTACGACCATGAAGCAGATGAAGAATATTACTCAGATGAAAATATGATTAAAGAAGGATGACTTGGAGGATCACAACAAAACCTCAGATAATAGAGCCAAGAGACATGGAGTACAACTTCTAAGGGGTAGGACTAAGACTTAATCCAGGAACTGGCAGCATATTTCTATGGACCAGTGATCAGTGTATGGCTTCTGGTTCTCCATTTTTCGAGTGGGAACGCTGTCTGGTTATTCTATGTTTGTCCCATGATTGTTTGTTGGATGTTTGTGGGCTAACCTGCCACTTTGTTTTGTAGGTCTTCAGATCAAGATGAAAGGTACTTTAGGAACCTCTTGGGGAGCCTATTCTACAAGTGGACCTGATTTGGGTGAAGAGATCCAAGACTGTCCTGATGCAATGAAATGACACTGTGGAGGTCTTATGACAGAGTGTAGTATTTCTGTACATGGAAAAGATGTGAATTTTGGTGGCTAATGGATAGACTGTGTCAGATTATACTTTCCAAAGATTGTCACAATATTTCCATTCTTTTGGGTTTTTTTGTTTTTGTTTGTTTTGTTATTTTGGTGGGACTGGGGTTTGAACTCAGGGCTTCGGGCTTGCAAAACAGGTGCTTTACCACTTAAGTCATGCCTCCAGTCCACCAATCTTACATGTTCTTATCCAGTGTGACTTTGCTACTCCCTATCAAGAGGTACACAGTATAGTTACCCTTCCCCTTGCTCTGGGAAGGCTTGTGAATGTTTTGGTAGAAGTAGTGCCACGTCCGTGAGAACTTACAAGACTGGACGTAAACGGTGCTGTAGAGTTCACCTTATTTTCTGAAACACTTGCATATGGTAGCATAGAACTTTTTTTTTTTTCATAGAAATGCCACTACTTGATACAGCCAAGCTCTGAGAAAAACTCAAGCTATATGGGGAGGCTTGAGTCTAAGGGCTCCTGTCAGCAGTATCAGACCCCAGCCAGTTGAGTTGGCCTTTTTGAGGTCATGAATGAGATAAGCCAACCCCATGATGCCTTGTCGAAATTCCTAAGCTACAGAATTCATGAGTGTAATAGAATAGCTGTTTTACACATAATCTCTGGGGTAGAATCTTGAACAACTGGAAAACTTATAAACCTCATTATAAGATTCATTAGTTTTATTGGTATAGTAAGATAAAGAGACTTGGTAATGAGTAAAGTATGAGTTTCAGTGAAAAGTTGGTAACTTGCTTATTTATTTGGTTTTGAAATACTAAGTCTTGTGGCTACATGTGAGCTCTAGATGGTCGATGTGCTACGATATTAGCCAGCACTGGTTTATTTGTAACATTTCATTTGATTTGCATTTTGTTCTCCTTGAGGAAAAAACCTTGATTAAAAAAATCTCAATAAATATGGTTGTTTCAATTTGTCTCCATATTTTACACATCATACATATAAGATAAATACATATTGATTAGATGAATATTATGTTTTAGTGAGCATATTTCATAAATTAATATAAAAATTGTATAGATAACAGAGATTGTATACTCTAATATTAATCTGTTTTAGCAAGATTTCCAGTCTGTCTATTAAAGAACATTATTCATTTCTTGGTAATCTATATATCTGATTTGAATAGCAGATGAGTAAACATGCTAAAGTAGAGATCATAGACAAAAGAGCAAATTTTCCCAGCAGTTAAGAAAAATATTTCTGTAAATTTTGGGGGAATTTTACTGACATCTAGTGGCACTCAGTCCTATATGTTAAAAAATTCCTTTTAGCTGGATTTATCTCTACTAGTCTTTCCATTATTCGTTTCTCTTAGTTTTTTAAAACTTGTTTTTTAAAGAAAAAAAACCATATCAAATGTCTAAAATAAGACCAGCTATTTTTTGGAGGATGCATGGTATACAAAATGCCCTATATATGATTTGACATAAATGAATAAATATGAACATACTATTTGTTCTTAAATGTAAGCTTTTTCCTGCAATCTTTCCTTTGTTTGCTTGGGTCCCTTTTCTTCCACATTCCTCTGTTCATTCAGTTCTTCCATCCTTGCCCTGAGGTAGGTCATAATAACATCTAGACTTGCTCCATGTGCACATAACTCAACACACGAGTGGATATACTTCTATAAACAAACAAGTACAATATGTACTTTTTATATTTTAGAAAAATAAGATATTTTTCTGCATTTTGCTTTTCTCACTTATCATACCTCTCTGAAATATTTCTATGATAAGTAACGTAGTTTCTCCTTTAAGTATATGCATTTGATTTAAAACTATGTTTTGACCAATTTTTGTACTGGTAAGTCATTCATCTTTTCAGTTTTGTGAATATAGCTACAATGCATGTCTATGAGTATGTATCCTTTTATAGGGTAACTATTTCTTTGTGATAGCTTTTTGTCAGTGAAATTAGGCAGAGGATTACATTAAAAAGTTTTTAGTAGGTATTGCCATGTTGCTTTCAAATACCTGAACGGTTTGTGATCAGTGTGTGAGAGTACCTTTCTCCTATTTTATCATTAGATATTGTATCATTATAAACATTTTGCCTGCATGAGACGTATCAAATGATTTATTACTTTAATTTCAGTTTTTTGATTACTAGAGAATTTGAATAACCTTTTGTATTTGTTGGCTCTGAATTTGTTCTTGTATGAATTTTTTAATTTTAACTTTTGCACTTCATATATTGTAAGATTTTAATCCCTTGTTCCTCATTTATTTTACCAATATTTTTATGACTAAGATTATAATGAAGCTTTAACTCATCATAGAATAATTATGTCTTTTTTGTTACTTTTGGTTTTCAGATGTAATTAAAGTCTTCTTCACACATGAATTGTATTCATGAAGAGAAGGGTCTGTCCCCCTTCTCTTAAAAAATTTATGTTTTTATCTGAATGCTACATTAAAGTCTTAATTCATCTGGAATTTAATTATGTTAATAAACTGAAAAGTTGAAGTATAGGCTGGGTGCTGGTGGCTCACGCCTGTAATGCTAACTATTCAGGAGGCAGAGATCAGGAGGATGGTGTTACGAAGCCAGCCCAGGCAACTAGTTCTGTGAGACCCTAATTTGAAAAAAACCTTCACAAAAAAGGGCTGATGGAGTGGCTGAAGTAATAGGCCCTGAGGTCAAGCCCCAGTGCTGAAAAAAAAAAAAAAGATATTGAAAAATTATCACAAGGTGAGCATATCTGTGTAATCATCAACCAGTCACTCAGAATAATTCCTCTCCCTTCTCCATTGCTATCTCTGAAATTCTCTGAAAAGAGCTACTATCATACTATCTAAAATTATCTTCTTGCTTTTCTTCATATTTTTGCCTCCTAAATCTGATACCTAAACAATATAGTTTAGTATAATGGTCATTGACCTTGATGTAAAAAAATTCCTTATGGTATGTGTTTTAAAAATATTCAGTATCTTTGATTTTGTTTGAGTTCATTTGTTCTCTTTTCTGGAAGGAATTCCATTGTGTGAATATGTGATTCCTGTACTGTTTTGCTGTTGATGGGTGTTTGAATTGTTTTCAGTCGAATAATGCCTCGTGGAATCATCTGGTTAGTAATACTCTTGTACATCACTCTTTCAGTTGGATGTACACTTCAGACCTTTTAGTTTTCTGATTCCTGGAGAATTTGAACAACTTTTTTTGTGTTGTGAACTTGATAGTGAATAGGGCACACATATATCCAGCTTTGTTAGACTGATAATTACTGTCACAAGTTCTCTGAAGTGGGTATACTCCTTGACACTTCCACTGGTGGTACCAGGGTTCTAGGATTCTGCATTTCCACAATACTTAGCATTGTTTGTCTTTTTTCATCTCAGTCATTCTGATGGATCAGAACTGGATATTCATTTGGTTTTAATTTACATTTTTCTGATAACTAATGAAATTGAATAATTTTATATGTTTATTGGTTACTTAATAGTCTTATTTTTTGTATTGCTTTTTCTTGGACATTTTTTGGCCATCTAGCTCAAGGACATAGATATTTCCTAGTTGATTTGAAGGAGGTCTTTATATGTCATGGATTTACACCCTTTGTTGCAAATATCTTTTCTAGTATCTTGTTTTAAAAGCTTTCTTTGTATTCATTTATTAATTTTTACTAACATAAATTCTTACTTCAATTAGTTCAATTTATGCATTCATTGTCTTCCATATTCAGTGCTTTTTGTGTCCTGTTGATGAACTCTGTATGTGCTCCAAATTAATGAAATCATTTTTTACTTTCAAATTCAATCTACATTTTATTTAAAATTATTTTTGTGTGTAAAATATGAAGAATAGGTCAATGCTCAGTTTTTATATACAGATATTCAATGGGATGAGAACCACTTACTGAAAAAGGACATTTTTGTCCCTCTGTACTTATGAATCCTCTTGGACATAAACCAAGTGCTCACATATGCATGGGCAAGTTTCTGAATTTTGCTGTTTTTATTGACAATATCATATAGTAAGTCAGTATCACACTGTCTTAATTAAGAGAGCTTTACGCTAAGTCTTGATATTTTCTAGTTTAAATCCACATTTTTAAAATATTACCTTTGCTCTTCTTTGATTTTGCATTTTTGCATACTTTAAAATTAGCCTTTTAATATTTATATAGAGGTATGTTATTGGGCTTTTCATTTGTGTTTCATTGAATGTATAGATCATTTAAAGAAGAAGTGTTGTCTCATGGTTTTCAGACTACCACTCCATAAATACAATATGTTCTGATCCTTACTTAGGTCCTTTAAACTGTCTTTCTGGAGTTAGTAGGTATAGGTAAGAACTTTCTCAATGAAACCCCAGCAGCACAGCAACTAAGAGATAGCATAGATAAGTGGGACCTCATAAAACTAAAAAGCTTCTGTTCATCAAAAGAAATGGTCTCTAAACTGAAGAGAACACCCACAGAGTGGGAGAAAATATTTGCCAATTATACATCAGACAAAGGACTGATAACCAGAATATACAGGGAACTTAAAAAACTAAATTCTCCCAAAACTAATGAACCAATAAAGAAATGGGCATGTGAACTAAACAGAACTTTCTCAAAAGAAGAAATTCAAATGGCCAGAAAACACATGAAAAAATGCTCACCATCTCTAGCAATAAAGGAAATGCAAATTAAAACCACACTAAGATTCCACCTCACCCCTGTTAGAATAGCCATCATCAGCAACACCACCAACAACAGGTGTTGGCGAGGATGCGGGGAAAAAGGAACCCTCTTACACTGTTGGTGGGAATGTAGACTAGTACAACCACTCTGGAAAAAAATTTGGAGGCTACTTAAAAAGCTGGACATCGATCTACCATTTGATCCAGCAATACCACTCTTGGGGATATACCCAAAAGACTGTTACTCCAGAGGCACCTGCACATCCATGTTTATTGCGGCACTATTCACAATA